GTAAATGTGATCAAGTAGCTGCTCTCTCCTCCAGCAGGTTCCCAACAGCAATGAGGGTTTTACCTGCAGGTGAAGCATCCTGATCGCTCTCAGCAGTGCCCAGCCCATGCAACCCCCATTTCTGAGCAGCAGGAGCTGCCCTTCTCAGGAGCAGCTGGAAATGAAAACTATTTCAGACAGACAAAACATCCAGTACCATCAGCTGTGGACATGGTTTGAGAACACAGGGCTGCAAAGCCCTGGAATGGCAGGAGCTGTGTGGTGTGGACGTGTGCATCACACAGCCATGCCTTTATTAGCTTTGCTTGGGGCACATTCTTGGTTTATGCTGTTGTGAGGGTTTTTAATATCCTGGAGAGGTTTTGGGCACACATCTAGTGGCATTAAGGCATCTCTGATTGCACATGAGGCCCTCTGCCTCTCCTCTCACTGTTTTCCTGGGGATGCCCCTGTGGCTGATGGTAGAGGATGTTGCAGGACACACTTGCAGGCTCTGTCTTCCAAGGCACCCAGCATGGCCAGGATGGCTGTGCTCTACAGGATGCCAACAAAAATGTGCTGGTGCATTGTATGTTGCAGGATGAGCTGTAGCAATGCTACTTCTTGGCTGTATTTGTTATATTCACCCTGCCACCTTCTCCCAGACTTCGTAGTGCGGCGCCACACAGAGCTCCCAGCTGGAGCCACCAGTGCTTAGTGACAGAGAAATGCCCACACACTGCCAGAGAGCTTGTGGTCTGATTTGAACCAAGACAAGACACAGACAAAAAACTCACCAAAACCAGGATGGGAACATCATGACGGGCCAGAGGTAATGCCAGTCCAAGTATGAGCTTTTCTAGATTTATGCTGTTCTGTACATCTTTGGAATGACAGAAGTCCAGAGCATATCCCCTTGTTTCCATTGACAAAATATATTAGCTGGTGCAGGAGGGGGAGAATCTTCATACTTACTTTATTTTTGCTGTGATTTGTTTGAGGAGAAACAAGACCTATTAGAAGGCTGAGCCTGACTTAGTACGAGGAGTTTGGTGCCAGCCAGGGCTGGCAGATTACAAATCAGAGTAAGAGCTGTGAGTAGGAGAGCAGCACTGCAGAGAAATCCCTGCTCCAGTGTGAGAGGCATCACATACTTGGGAGCCCAAAAACTGTCCCTCTCTATGCTGCATCTCAGTTCCAGCTCTCTTGCAAGACACTGACTGAAAGATTAGGCCATCAAAAGGCTGGAATTAGTTATTTATGGGCAAATTTCTTTTAAAGTGAGTTTTGATACATAAATATTTTCTCCTCGTGCAAAGTCATCTGAGGTGGTCAGGAGGGAATTAATATCCTATAGGCTGTCCTGTAGGATGGAACACCCAGAATCAGTACAGGTGGCCTTTTTATCTTTGCATGATAGAAGGATGAACTCAGACCGGCAGAGACAGAAGAAGATGCTATTAGATACTTTCGGGTTATCATGCCTGATACAGCCACCAGGCAGAGTCTGATTCACTTCTGGAAAAATGTTACACCACAACCAGACTGCTGAGCCCTTGGCTGCAAAGTGGGCCTGTGACTACTGCAAGTACAAAGTGAATCAGCCACACCACGGGCAGGCTTTTTTAGGTACAAGCCTCCAGCTGACAGCAGGCAGTGGGAGCCCGGCTGCCAGAGAGAGAGAGCGAAGGCAGCTCAGCACTCCCGGCAGCCAGACCTCCATCTCCTACCTGCCCTGTGCACAGCCCTGGTGTCTTTTGCTCTGTTTCACCCACAGCAATTTTGGGTACCTGCCCCTCGCACTCACGGGCACCGTTCCCATGGAGGCACCCCGTCTATTCCTGTAAAGGAACTGATTCAGGTAAACTCTGACTCTATATTCCCACCTTTGCTTGACAAACAGAACAGGGAAATGCCATTAACACGCAAGCCTTCCTCAAACCACCTTGTTTTTGCTGCCAGTCAGAGTGGAAACAACACCACTTCCTCCCACATGCTGTCAGTGCCTAGACCGTATTATTTGCTTTTAATTGAATTAAAAGCCAGCCCATTGCTTTTTTGTTATCCTATACAAAGCGCTAAGTTCTGCAAACACCTTGCTGGAGTGACTAAATCAGATGGTGAGATAATTATTTCCACCACATCAGTTGCTTCAGTTCCAAATTGGCCATCAAAACACAGGCAGGTGGTTGTGAGGTTCATGGAATGTCCTCAGCAGTTAGGTAACACCACAGACCCACTCCCAAATAACTGAAATCATCTCTGGTTTTTTAAAACATAGACTTTTCTCTCAGGGGTGACATCTCAGCCCACAAAGTCAGTGGAGTCAGAATTTTGAGCCTCCACCCCAGCCCTGTCCTTCTCCAGTTTCTTAGATTGTGTTTCACCAATACCTCAGTTTCCACTAAAATAATATTTATTCTGTGGTTGTTACTGCTGTCATTAACATGATTGCACTCAATTCACATTATTCCTTGCAGAGAAAAGAAAACCTTTGCTTTGATCATCAGCATAAGAAGTGATAAACGGCACATTTGCTTTGTGTACTTCTCTTAAAACTCATCTTCCAGAGCATTTAAAAGCAAATCTGAATGATTTCTCACAAATAAGCACAGGACCATTTTGGGGGTGGAAGAATGGCTTTGGGTAGCCTTTAATCATGGGTTTACTCTGGACATACCCCAGACTTTTATTCGCCCCTTAGCAAACCTCAGCAGGGGTTTCCTCACTCACTCTGGGAGCAGGTTACCTTTCCCTCTTGCCAGGCAGAAGACCTTGTCCCATGAATCCTTCTCAAGCATTGGGTAGGTGACCTTTGCCTGGTGCATTTAGCCTCTTCCATCCACCCATGGGATGGGAGAAAGGAGAGGTGGCTCCTCCAGCCCAGCCCACAGAGGGGCTGCAAGGGTCTAGGGGGTCGATGGAGACAATCAATGTGCAAGGCTTGGCTGTGTGCTCATGGAAAGGGAAGGACATCTCTGCTGGACTGTGTGACCCAGAGCAATCTCATGCATTCTGGGAACATAGCACTTCCCTGCACCTGTGCAACTCACAGCAACACCTTCTTGCTGGAGCATGGTAATGGCAATGGCAGTCCGAGAAGCTGGGCTTTCCAAAAAAGAGTTGACTAGCAATGGCAGCCTGTGCCTTTGCATCATTGGCAATAAAATCAATGATTAATTGAACTATTATCCACTACTTAAAATCAGCCTTCTTGGCCCATTAAACCCATGGCAGTCTTGGTGAGATTCCCTGGTGGACTGGACAGGAACTGCTGTGTTTGTTCCAAAAGTAATACTCTTCAAAATACTCTTCAAAATACTTCCAAACATGGAGCTGGAGATGGCTGGGCAGGAGCCGGAGCACGTGGGTGTCTGTGGGGAGATACTTACCTGAAGCCAAGGAAGCTTAGCTTGACTTTGTTGAGGAACTGAGGAAATATTCAACATCCCACTTTCACTAAGGCTTCACCACATCAGGACCACTTGCTGACTTTCACTCCTCTTAAAAACGTTCTTCAGGCTATGCTCTGCTCCTTATCTGATCTCTGGGCTCTCAGTTCCTTCTCTATGGCCACCTTTGTCTCTCCCTCAGCATCATCTTCTTGTCTTTCCACCTGGCCTTGCTGTGACCTTGGCTATATCACTGCCTGTGGCTTTGCTGTTTTTTTCAGCCTCTCCTTGTCCCTCTGCACAAAGATCCTTCAGGTCCTCTCCAACAGCTCTGAGTCTCCTGATTTTATCTCTCTGTAGCACTGGGTTTACTCTGGCTCATACTATCCCAGGTCATGAACTACTTTTACCCCATTCTCCAAGTGTGGATGAAAGCCTTCTGGCGAGGCCTTTCAATAACCCTCTCCTCCAGCGCCTCTGGACCTAGCCACACACCTAACATTGACACCTCTAAACACAACCAGATCCTTACTTCTGACCATCATCATCCTCTATCCTCTTCTTCTTTCCTGGCCTCACTTCCTTCTGCTTGCCAGAGCGCCTGTGGCTGCAGCATCCCTCTTGCTGCACTGGCTTCTGCTCCTTTTTTCCCTCCAAGCTCTTCCTCAAGCTTCCTGCCCTATTCCAGTCACAGCTCACTACTCTGTATTCCTCAAGCTCCTCCTTGCTCTCCATTTACACCCACACTTAGCAGCCCCACCTTCCCTCGTGGCCAAGGCCCCACCACTGCCCCTTGGGGGGCCCTTTCACTCCCTTTTTCCTCCTCCATCCTCCCCTAGGATGGTCTTCAGGCTTGCTTCAGACCCATCCTTATGGTATCCCTCTCTCAACTCTCACTGAGCTCATCCAGACCTGCCCTCATAACAGCTCCCATTCCCCCCACATCCCACCATAACTGACCCTGTGTGGCCACAAGCAGCAGGTCATACCTCTATACTTGCCCACCTCTTTTCCCAGCCAAATTTAGCTTGTCCTTCTTTTTTTTTTTAACTTTCTTCTTTTTTCTTTTTTTTTTTTTTCTTTTTTTTTTCCTGAGGGCAAGACCTGTCTTTGTACACTGATTCTTATTTTTACTTTTTACGCCTTTCCTGCTCCCCATGTCTGCACGTGCTGCCTTATTTCTGAGAACTAGCTGACTTCTCCTCGTGGCCAAAACCCACTTCTCTACTTCAGACTCTTGCAAACGGCAGAACGCACTAAATGGCCCTAATGAGCCCCAGCTATACCTGCAACTGAACTGTCCTCAACCTGCTGTCCTTCTCCACACTCTGTCCTTCCATTTACTGAGTTCATGCCTGCAGCCACTGTCCTCTCTGCCTCCTCCATCCTAAGATGCAGAGTTTTTCCTGGGAAAGACACATTTTGGCTGGAATGGTAGAGAGCAGTGGTGATGATCCTTACATCCTGCCAGACTAACTTCAGTACTATCTTATCCCACAGGGGTGTGCCAGAGGGGCTGGAAGAGGAGGCTGCGCATGAGCACTCACCTTCCCCTGCCCACAGTCAGCCTGCCACGCAAGCTGCTGGCCAAGGGAAAGGGTTGTTAGTGCCAAGAGCTGCAGCCTTCATCCTGGGAACACCTGGCATACGGAAGGAGGAAAAATGGGTTTATTGGGCCCTAGGGGTGTGTGCTTGGTTTTCCACAAGACCTTGCAGGTAAGGTGGAGTTCTGGAGCAGCAGAATTAGTCTGCAGTACAGTGTCGGGGGGTCAGTAAGGCACAAGACATCAATGGACACTCCTCCTCCGGTGGAGTCCAAAAAATTAAGTGCCTAATATGCGTTGAGAGCCTGCAGCAGATGCTGATTTACACCTATCTTTTCTCCTCTCCCCAGCCCAATATTTTCACAAAATGTTTAGGGTGTCATTAGCACCTCCTTCAGAGGGGAATAAACCCTGCCAATTGCGTAAAAGATTATTGAAGAAGGGTGAGAGTGGCTTGGTAGCTGCACACACACACACACACACACTCTGTATGCAATATCTTCATTTTTTACCTAATTACTCTGGCTTTGCTATAAATTTTGCAATCAGAAAAATTAATCAACGTTCACAATAAAAAAATGAAGCCAGGCCAAACAACTTAGCCAGATATCTGCAGCTAGCAGGCTGCAGGATGGTGAGCAGCACAGAAGTCATGCTTCAACTTCCTGCATTCATCCTCCCTGCGCTGCCCTGCGTGCTGAAGCACCCCCCACCACCGCCTCCCCGAAATGAACTCATTCATTTCCAGAAAGCGCCGCACCGTCCCCGTCCCTGCGGCTGGGACCCCGGCTGCCCGGGGTGACTCTGGCATTTGCGGGGGTGCAGGTGCCCCCAGGGCACAGATCCAGCCCGCTCCCCGTGGGCAGCTCCCCGGAGAGCGGCGGCACAGGGATGTGCGTGCCGGGGAGCCGGGACGGGCTGGGCAGTCCGGTGTCACCTCTGGAGCCGAGGGTGCAGGTGGGACCGGGTCCCTGGGCACACGCAGCCTATCACAGCTCCAGCCTTTCAACTTCCTCCTTGCGGTTTGCACCGCCTCGATTTATTCATTTCCTTGTAATTCGCAGATAGACATCGATGCTATATTTAAACGGTGCCTGTAACTGTGTGGGGATTGCAGGTAAGCCATTTTATTTGTAGAGTGATGGTTTTAAAGGAAAATGAGACTTCAGAGTCATCTTCCAGGCTGGCGCTGTCTGCGGGTACGGGTGACCCGCAACCACCCCCAGTGACACCAGGCAAAGCCCCTCCCTGGGCCGCGGCACCAGGCACAGACAGCTCCAGCTCCTCCAGCTTCCTGCCACCACCACCGAGAGGGCCCTTCTGCCTCTGTCCCACACAGACTGCTGCACAAAGCTCAGCAACCAAACCAGCTAATTAGCTCACATAATAAAATTGCAATCAAAACTTCCAGGATTCCGTTATATTGGGGGTGGAAGAAGCTCAAGAAGAAAACGCTGTGTTTGGTTTGAAAGGGTGAAAAGGATTTGCAATATTCCCATGCAAACATCTGTCATTTATTTCACCACTTTCCTTTGGAAAGTCCATGTTAAGGAATGGAACATAGGATGGCAATCTATGTTAAAAACCACAGAGCAGCCAATTCTCTGGATGGAGGGTCACCACCTAGTTCGGGAAAAGATGAGATAAAGGGTGAGGGCATCACGAACTCTTCAGACAGAGTCTGGGTTTTTTAGCTGAATTGTGAAAACCCCATTGCTCTAAACAGCTCTGACCTTTCCTATTTCTTGGAGACTGACATCTCCACAGTAGATGAGGTCACTCACCCTGTTTTTGAAGTCTCTCTCTCACTACTCCTTGCATGGGGTTTTTTCTGTGGGAGGGGACAGTCATGAAGAGGGCTAAACCTCTTGATCATGTGTGAAAAAAGGAAATGAAAATGAGCTATTGGAGATGTATCAAGCCCTGACCCATAACTTTAGTTTCTGAGGATATAAAATCATGAAACCCAGAGGTCTGAAAGGAAAGTAGGATATCTAGCTCTAAAAGTTGTTTTATTGGAGGCTATATGCTCTATGCTAGAAAGTAGAAATGCTCAGCCTGTGCTTTTATGAGACAGTTATGAGAGGCTCTGACAGGAGCATGAGAAATCATTGATGCAATCACCTTGAGAAACTGCAATTTGAATGCGCTGCCTTGGGTGGAGAGAAGCTGCACACCAGCTTCCTACAGGAAAGCCTAGCTTAAATGATCACCATGGTTATATTCTGCACATCAGTTCATGGGCTTGAGGGTCAGAATCACAACTGGGAAGACACAAGAACATCCTACTCATAATTACAGAAATTGTGGCGCTGTCTAGAGACTAACCTTCAAAGGTAGTGCCCTGTCCTGCTTGGCAAGCTCAACTAAGAGGCACTGTCTGCCTTTAGGTCTCGCTGCCAGTGTAGAGGAAAACTGATAGAGGACCCAAGAGAGAGTCAAAAGGGTTAGCTAGACCACAACAAGGTAGCTAGCAATGCACATTACTAGATGGCTGCAACCACCAGGAAAAAAGGGAATTTCTTGATGACCATTTGCTGAGGCATATTAGTCCAGGAAGAAAAGGCATAAGACTGTATGAGACAAAGTGTCCCTGATATATGAGTAGGAGTTATCCCTGGACAATGACAGGCTGATGCATTTTGGAGACACACAGCAGAAGTGCTTGAAGCTGAGCACATCTGACCACTGCCTGTGCTGCACTGGCCACTTCCAGGTCAGAGAGAAGCTGCATCTTGCAGACCTGAGGAAATCAGGGCTCTCTATCTGCCTGATCCAGATTTAAACATCTTCATGAAGGAAGTGAGAAGGAGCAAGATGAACAATATGGTGAGGATAGGAAGAAATGTGCTTCATGTACACACTGCACTTGGACTGCCATAGCCAGGAGAGCTTGGAAAGCATATTTCACGTAAGATGCAAGTGTCTGCTCTAACCTCACCAGGTTCACATGCACATTCATAAAACTTCCTCTGGGAGGTGGTTTCATTGATACTACATGGACACAATTTCTGCCTGGCTAGGAAAGGTAAGAAGAAGGACAACCAGAGCCCCTAAGTATTTGGATTTCAGACATTCCTAGAGCATGAGTTCAGAAGCTGGTCTCAAAATCAAATCACAGAAAGCCTAAGGGTCAGAGACAAAAACACTTCCCAGAAATATGGAGGGAATGCATTAGCTGTGGTTTGTGAAAAGTCACCTGGATCTGTCTATTCTCTTAGCTTAAAAGACAGAATTTTTTGCATAATTCATGATCTGTCTTTTGTAGGGAGCAGGAAATGATAGCTGAAGCCTGGAAGACTGATCTGAGAAGTACCCAGCACAACAGGCCTGGCCTCAGCAGGCAGCACTGTAGCTGGAGTGGCAGGAGGCTGCCAGCTGCTTGCAGAGACATGCAAGGCAGTTGTGCTGTGCAGAAACAATAAAAATGAGTTTGCAAAACGAAGTCCTGTGTTTCATTGCCATTGTTTACAAGACACTACTCCTATTGAAGAGATGAAACCTGGACTGGGCTCTTCACACCCTTGATAATTGCCTTTTTGTGGAACATCACCCTGGGCAGAACCACTCAGACATCAGCTGTCCAGGCAGCCTCTGCTAGGACCAAGCAGAAAAACAAGCCCAAACCCAGAACTAAGGCATCTAGCCTGCTTTTCAGTTTCCACTTGGGCACAGGTGATTGTCTTTTCCTATTACCAGTTGGCAAAAGGACAGCGACAACCCATCCAATCAGTGTGTTTGTAAGTTATTTACCATCTATCACCGCAAGAGCCTTATTCTGAGACACCTAAGTTAGCTCCTCCTTCGCTGTCATTTCAGCACAGCCAGGGCATAGAGCATTCCACAGGCATTGGGCCAGCTGGCTCCTGAAGCCCAGCAGTGGAGCTGGTTGTGGGTCACAGTGGATGTGACCGCTCCTCTGGGACGCACGGAGGATGTGCTCACCTGACTACACCCACGAAAGTTAAGTGCTGGAATGGCTGCCTCACAACTACTCCGAGTCACAGGGACCTGCTGATATCTCTTCTGAGCCAACCAAACTCATAAGCATTAAATCAAAAATCAGTAGCTCTCAGCCTACTACCAGCCAGATCAGAGTTCACATAAAATGACCCTGGCAATCTTTATTATCTTTCCATCCAAGTTCATCTAACTCTGACACAGAGTTCTGCCTGGGAAAGGAGATACGATTGTTTCAATTTGCTTGGCCTCTCTGGTGAGTGCTCTTTCTCTTTCTCTCTTCCCTCCCCCTTCCTCCCCCCTGCCTCTCTACAAATGTACACAGACAGTGATCTGAGAGCGTGCAGGAGAAAATGCTTTACTTTTTCCTGAAAGCCCTGAGCCGAGGGTGGTGTTTCCCCACCTCCACGCTGCTGACAAAGGCTGATGTAAACACCATCAATGTGCCCATCTAAAGGCCACAGGGGTTTTCACGTGAATCCTGCGTTTTTTCCACAAAACCCATTACACTGTACTTCAGCTTAAAATATATCTCCTTGTTTCTGGTTAACCTACAACCCCTCTAAGGCTAATACAGTTTACAGACAAACTACTCAGCAGAACCAAATTTGGAATATAGGTGCTTCTCGGCTACAAAATCCTTTCAAGAAACGGTTGCAACTGTGGCTGTATTAAAATCAGAAAAACCAATACTGACACAAAAAACGTTTGAAAAAAACCCAAACAGTTATGCCTTCAGTGTTGACAGGAGTAAAACATGTCATTTACAACGCCACCGAAAACATAACAGGAAGGAAGCAGACCTCAGAAACTATAAACAGAATTTAACAGAGGTAGGAAGTACCTCAAATGCTTTCACGTAGTGACTGTAAAAAAGATACTACTAAAAGGAGAAAATGTTTCCAGGGTTTTTTTTCTTGTTTGCTTTTTGGGGTTTTTTCCCCACTTTAGAGATTCATAGGTATTTTGAACAGTAAGAAATGGTCACAGAAGTAAGTGCAGCTTTAAGTTGCAAAACAATTTATGGTACTAATAACAGCTTGATTTTCCTTCCACACACCCCCCTGTGCCATTCCTCCAAGCAAGTTGTGTTTGGCCAGAAATTAGATGGTGCTCTTCTAGCTCCTCTCCTTCCCTGCCTCCCTCCCTCCTTCTCCACAGCTGCTGGCTTTAAATTATGCTACTTCAAGGACAATAATTAAAAGCACATTCCAAAGCCAAAAATTATAATTCACCTTGATAGTCAATAGGACTTTGCACAAAAAGAGAAAATACTCTCCCCCATCTCAAGACGCTTTACAGATCTCGTGACTGTATTATTTCACACCTTGCTTGCTCTGTAAGCTCCTGCACCCAAAAACCCCTCAGGACCCTGATTTCCAGCAAAGAGGGGCTACCTGGTAAACTCCCTTCTATTTGCAACTTGACTACTTTGGTTCACTTTACCATCCTCCTTTTCACCCTTTCCTAGCTTTACTCACTTTAAAGTGCACTGGAAACTCTTAAACCAGGAACCAAGTGGCAGTCAGAGGATCCCCACGTGCTGGGCTGGGCAGGAGAGTTCCAGCCTGGTCCTCAGCCCCAGAAGTCCTGGAGGGGCAGAGCATGGCAGCACCAGATCCCCAGCTGCCGGAGCTCTGCTGCACTGTCCATGGACCTGGAAACCAACAGTCAAAGGGGAACCTCTCTATTTTCCTTTTTTCTGCTACCTGTGGCTAATATTGCAGACATTTCTGTAAACAAAAATCCTTACCTTTTGACCTTTCTCTGCACTTTTGGCTCAGAACAGAGTTCCCCATAGACAACCAGCAGCGCTGCCCAGGTTCACAGTGCAGAACCACACGCGTTAGATTTGTCCCACTACTGAAAACAACACATACGCACCGAGTTGGTAGGGAAATAGAATTTTATTCCAAGACGTGAGCTGAAGCAATGAGCATATGAAGCAACAACCACTAGAAAAAAAGTGAAAAACACATCAAATATTTTATGGCCCCTGTTAAGTCTGAACACAGAAGTCCCTTCCAGTAAAATGTACGCGCAGGACAAAAGCACATGCGAATCTCAGATGGTCACCCAGAGCATTGCTTTTAATGTCTAAGGAAGAGGTCTCCCCTACAAAAATCTTTAAGCCAGGGAAAAAACCCTTCAAGTAACAAAGTAGAAATGATCTGTTCATTCTGCTTGGCATTGTGGAGAAGAAGGAGGATAATATATCCCAAAAGAGTATGCATCTTTAAGATGTATAAATTCAAAGTCCCTAACACAAGTCTGCTGCCAGACCAAGTACCGTTTTTTCTTCCTCATTTAGGAAGTCAAGTGAAGTATGCCTGCTAAGCACAGAGGGATCATGTTCTGGAGTGAAACCTACTAAGACCACATGGTCTGCCTGCCAGCAAGGAAACTTCATTGACACACACACCCAGCAGACTTCTTTGTCTTTCTAACAGCACCCTACCACTGAAAGCTGCAAACTGCATCAAATTCTACAAACATTCAAACAAGTATTTCCTTGACTGCCTTAGTACAGAAGGCTAAATGCTGCTCTCCTTGAGCTCCCCTTTCACATTCATTTCACTACCACGGGAAGAAAGCTGCAAGTGCACACAAACAGCAGAGTTGGCTCTGTCTAAGTCACTAGGGGTGACTAAGGGGTGGTGGTTATTTTAACCTGGCTTATGTATGTGACATCAAAAAGGGGTAGCTGGACCATTTCTGTGCTAGTTTCAAGGTCTGCCAACTTAATTCTGATGCATACATACATACATACATACATGTGTACATATATATGTGTATGTATAATGCATGCATAGTAGCTTACAATAATAAGAAAAAAACAATTTGTTTATAAACCTGCTCTTTGGGACTCTAGAATTTTAGTGGTTAATCCACTAAATCCACAGGTAATATGAGTTGAATGGTCACTCTTCTTAACACAGTACCATAAATGCATTACTTTAGAAACTGCTATCATGGAGGCTAATCCAATAACAACAATGGCAGCAACAAAATTCATTGTCAGGACAAGTGTCAGTCAGACATTAAAAAAATATGTCTCTGAAGAATTGCATTGTTTTCAAAAAATACACTGAAATATTCTATACAAGAAAATAGGCATCACACTTATGAATCTAATTTTATAACCACATACATGTATTAGCTATCCTCAATAAACCATCTACATTTGCTACCCATCTACAGTAGTTACAGTTTCAAATTGGGAACACTGCAAATTTATGTACTTTCCCTGAGATCAGTAATCCAAAATAAATAGCCCTGCAAAGGTAACAGTGTAAACTCTGGATTTAAGTCTTCAGTAAGGAGCAGTCCTCAAAAGCCAAGAAGAACATTAAGCAAACGTAAACACAGCAATCATTTTGTCAGTTTTCAGTTAATTCTCAGCAACAGTGGAACCCCATGCGAGACGCAGCATCCAAATGTTGAAGACCCGTCAATTTTATTGTACAATACAGTTGTCCTAGTTGCTCACTTTCCTATCATTGTACCCCTGAATGCATCCAGCTGGGATTGTGGATGTCCAAATCGTGACCCAGATCTGCTCTTCCACTCTGCACAATCTTTACAGTGCCTGTAAAACCACTCCTTCTGAGGTTCTTACTCTTGAATAGAGGAATGGCGAATAGATGTGTGATAATCCTCTGGACTAGTCACAAGTTCTGGTAAATCATAGCCTCTCAGCAGATGTCCACTGTTTTGTTGAGCAAAGTAATACAGCTGCCTGGCAAACATTGGTTCAACCTTAAGAACAGACAAAATGTTAATCAGACATGTGACAAAACTTCACGCTCCTCATCTTAGTTATTCAGGGTGGCTTTAAGTTAAAAACAAGTTGGGGCAGAACAGTTCTGCTTCCCAGAATGGGAATACAATTTCAATGGTTTCACTAATCTCTGTTTTAAACCAGGTCTTGCCTAGCCTAGCCTAGCCCTGCTGCCAAGTGTCTCACTATCTGCACATGCTCCTTTCCTTCACCACCTTCATTATAAGGGACTGTAGCAGTGACACAAATGATGTATCAAAAATTGCAGTCCCTTAGCCAGCCCAGGCTGTGAGCAATGCCCACAGGACACACATGCCCACAGCCACTCCAAGTGTTTAAATACATGTTGAACATGCCAAAAGTCTTGTCTGCACTGCAAAGTACTTTGAGGACTTCACTTGAAATGTTGGAGCCCTCAGGTAGGCTGAGATATGTCGCCAAATGACTGTGTCTGAAGTCAGATTTCAACCTAACATTTTAGGTGACTTTTGTTTCTGTTCATTCAAGCTCTGATGAGAAATTTGTTCAACCACCAAGTGGGATTTGTATGAGTTAACACTGCCTCCACTTCTGTCTCTTCAGAAACCACCATTCCCTCTCAGGGC